CACTCCAATACGTCACCAAGTTCGTCACTAGTTGACATTGTCCATGTTTCGCGCTTGAAACCCTACTTCTGTCGCACTTCTCCGGACTCTCGCCGAGACGGCGCTCCAACGCCCGGGGGTCCTGCTACGGAGAGGAAGAAAAGGAAGAGGTGCGACTGACAGGCGCGCGACTGGGCCAATCAGCCATTGTGTCTCTTGCCTGTAGTTTTTACTCTGCAAATACATCTCGCTCAGAAGCAACCAACCTCGTAACAATATTGTTAATGCTATTACTGATCCGGTTAAAATAAGACTTTTTGCAGACGACTGCATTATTTTCACAGATGTACAATCGCCAGATGACCAGGTTGCTCTCGACACTGCCCTTAACAATATTCTTTCGTGGTGTAACAAATGGGGCATGGTGCTCCATTTCGATAAATCTGTTTGCCTTCGAATTACTAACAAGAAAAATCCCCTTCAGTTTTCCTATTCCTCTAAAAGCCAACCCTTAAAAGAAGTCAGTCAATACAAATACCTAGGTATAACGATAACGAATAAGTTGTCCTGGAATGCACACATTGCCGATGTTTCGTCATCGGCTTTCCGTAAACTGTGTCTTTTAAGGCACAAACTCAGAGACGCCCCGTCGCAAGTGAAACTATTAGCTTATAACACTTTAATACGTCCAAAGCTTGAATACGCTTGTATTGTATGGGATCCGCATACTAAGTCTAACATATATTCCCTTGAAAAGATTCAAAGACGAGCAGTACGTTTTATTTACTCAAAGTATGGTCGTGGTACATCAGTTACGGAACTAATGCGAGATAACGAAATCCAGACGCTACAATCGCGGCGCCAGCTTCTCCGTCTGAAATTCTTGGACTCACTAATTAACAATAAACTTGGGCTAGACCCATCACATTACGTTACCCCAGTTTCGACCAGGCAAACTCGTCATTCTCATGTCCGATCCTTAACTCCGTATTTTGCGCGGACAGATTTATTTAAGTTTTCCTTTTTTCCGAGAACTGTAACAGAATGGAATAACTTGCCTTCTGATTTCCTCCAAACCTTCGATCTTGATGAACCCAATGTTTAATTCTGTGAATCTTGACCCCCCCCCCCCCTCCCAATATTGCTTGATTTTTTTTAGATGCGGAGCATCTTATACTCGCGCCTTGTAGTGCGCCGTCCGCACCGCTTCTCGAACATTCGACAGCTGACGCGCGCGCATGCGCCGTCGCTCCGTCGCCCACTCTTCCACCATCTGTGCATCCCTTCCTCCTCTACACACCGCGCGCGCTTCACTCCTCCACCATCTGTGCACCCTTCCTCCTCTACACACCGCGTTCGACATCTACAGTTCTCCGGATTCTCCAGTGGACGCGCATGTGGCGTCGCGCTTCGAGAACATTCAACAGCTGACAGTGCATGCGCCGTCGTGCTGTATATATACTCAAGGTCGGCGCTCGCTCGCTCGCTCAGTTGCCGCTCGTCGGTTGGTTTGTACGGCGCGTCGACGTCCAAGGTCGCGGTGAAATGAATTCCAACGAATCCACAAACACAATGATCGACGTCCCTTCGACCAGCGCCGCCCTTTCGCATACGTGTGTACGTGTTCACTCATTTAACACCCCCTCCTACAACCACGTTAACCAATTTAGCCATCGACCCAAGTAAGTCGCAATTTAACACCCCATTTCACAACCACGTTAACCAATTTAGCCATCGACCCAAGTAAGTCGCACTTTAACACCCCGTTAACCAATTATATGGTCCGCATCCTCCTCAGTGTTCCCCCGAGGGAAGCTGCGGGCAATTTTTTTGATGTTTCTTTTCTACTCGCTCTTCTCCTACACAGATGTATTTTAGTCAAGCTGTGTTACTCATGTACTGATCGCGTGCTTTCTTTGTTTTGATGTTTTTCTTCTACTCGCTCTCCTCTTACACAGATGTATTTTAGTGAAGCTGTGTCACTCATGTACTGATATTGTGTTTGTGTTTGTGCCCCTCCTGCTTGGGCCTTTTTGGCCTGCAGTATTTCACAAATAAAAATAAATAATAATAGGTCACACTGGGGAACCACTCAGTGCTTTGCCAAACAATGTAAGATGAGAGATCATTAGGAAAAGAGCAAGCTCGCTTTGAATACGTTCCAGTGATGTTCGTACAACGACGAAGAATTCCCATTCAGAGACATGAAAATTCCCCATTTCGGGGAGTTTCCTCTGCGAACGTTGACGAAATACCCAGCACATTTCCCTGCACAAAAGTACCAATTCCAGCCCATTCACGCACACACAGTTTATTATTACACGTGTCTAAAGTACTGGCGACTTTTCAAATTATGACTGGCCCGTATACACTGCCGACAACGAAAGCATGAGTTTATTCATGTATATATCGTTAGTACACTGCACATTGTGGGCTTCAAACGCCACGCTTGCGTGGTGCATGCGCCAGAACCGATACAGTGGATGGAGTCGCACTGTGACCGCTAATTACCGGTCGAAATAGGATATTTAGGCATTCCTAAAATTCCCTATACGCTATGAAGACGATTCCCTTTTTTTCCTCAAAATTACAGGCGAAAATTTCCCAAAAAGGGGAAAATTCCCTGCACGGAACGTTATTGATACGTTGAACACCATCTACACTGGCAGGTACAACGCAAGACCTCGATATACATTGATACAGGAAACGCATGCGTGGCAATCCTCGACCACAGCGTGCACCAAATGCCAACGATGGCACACCAAGCGACTGAAAGCGCTCATAGGAGTGAGCCCCGTCAGGCGGAACGTTAATTATGCCTCTTTCCACGTATGTATGAGGTGATCAAACCGGGTTCCACGGGCTGATGGGTAGCGTCCGCCTAGATTACGTTTGCCTTTTCACACGTAATACGCGTGCACAGGTGACACTTGCTGTCGTTTATTCAATCGTGACCTCAGACATTATCAGGTTACGCGAGTTATATACGTTTGTGCCAACCAACGCGAGTGTGGCAACGACGGGACGAAAGAACGAGGCGGGTGTGGGAACGTTACTATTATGTCTGCGTCGTTACACTCCCCAGTTTTTTATAATGTTTGTATTCCTTGATCGCGTACCAAACACACTCAGTGTAAGCCTTGATTCTATGTAACTGCGAGTTAGCACTACATGGTGGGCTTAAAAACCGTGCATTTTCTTAACTGAAACTCGAACGAATATGCCTGGTAAAAAAGACAGTGCTTCAGTGTCTTCAATTTGTATTACTGAGCTCTGAAAATAATCCACTCCACTTGTACGTGTCGACCTGAGTGTCTTTTGCGGGCGAGCAATGGCGACAACCATAAAATGGATACTGATAGCTTTTTGAACTACCAGTGTCCACTCTAGATTTGGTTTGGTAGAAACATTATTGGACTTCCTCCAATTCTTTCTTCTCTTACGAAATATAGCGCTATATATATATATATATATATAAATAAATAAATATATATATATATATATATATATATATATATATATATATATATATATATAGAGAGAGAGAGAGAGAGAGAGAGAGTAAGGGAAAGACGTGTAACGTGTATACTTAATAACTTGTTTTTCCGTGTTTTGACAATATTAATAAGATCTAACAAACAATAATGCCAAGGAAGTTATAGGGAAGGTTATTGGACCTAATTGTAAAGCAAATGTGAAGAAAGAAAAGTGGGTGAAAAGATAAGCTGCCGTGGGCAGGAACCGAACCTGCGACCTTCAAATAACACGTTCGATGATTTGTGGGGTTTAACGTCCCAAAACCACCATATGATTATGAGAGACGCCGTAGTGGAGGGCTCCGGAAATTTCGACCACCTGGGGTTCTTTAACGTGCACCCAAATCTGAGCACACGGGCCTACAACATTTCCGCCTCCATCGGAAATGCAGCCGCCGCAACCGGGATTCGAACCCGTGACCTGCGGGTCAGCAACCGAGTACCTTAGCCACTAGACCACCGCGGCGGGGCAACGCGTTCGATGCTCCACCACTAAGCTACCACAGCGGCTATCCTCCCAGCCACTTTATTGGGTGTATATGTGAATTTAAACGTGGAAGTATCAGTCAGCGCCCTCAGTAGCCATGGCGGCGATTGTGAGATACCCTTTATGAGCCTGTGTGGTGTCACGTAGCACGTGAACTTATCACGAGCTCGCAGCTGGCCTATAGTCCCTCATATACAACCTAGGTCACCAAGTCTGCCAGTACGAGACCCTCGTTAATGAGTAAGGGAGAGAAGTGCATACTTAAGGGCTCTTTTTTCCAGGATTTGACACAATAATAATGAGATCTGACAGACAATAATGCCAAGGAAAGTATAGGGGAATTTATTAGACTTAATTGAAATGTAAATGTGAAGAAAGAAAAGCGGCTGAAAAGATAACTTGCCTAATATATATATATATATATATATATATATATATATATATATATATATATATATATATATATATATATATATATATATATATATATATATATATATATATATATATATGAAGGTAGCCCATAAGGTTATGATCATCCACAAAACCTTGATCAGGCAACACGCACATTGATGCGTGTTGCATCCTACTGGGAGTTTATGGAAAGCAATACAACAGTGTCGTTATTCTTCGCAACATTTTACCTTGCAACATTGATGGATTTTTATGTAAAAGGTAACAGTTTTAACCATCTTGCTTTGTGGAAACATAACCTCGTATTCAGCTACAAACATAATGTGAAGTCGGTGGTTTGACGAAGCATCGTCTGGTCGGCAAGCACGAAGTACAAACGAAATGAAAGAGTGTCGACCAAAATGAAAAGGTTTGAAACATTAAAAATAGACGTGAGCCAGAAAGACAAATCTCAAGTAACTCGTAAAAAATGTACAATTACAATCCTTTGTGTGTGTGTGTGTGTGTGTGTGTGTGTGTGTGTGTGTGTGTGTGTGTGTGTGTGTGTGTGTGTGTGTGTGTGTGTGTGTGTGTGTGTGAGTGTGTGTGTGTGTGTGTGTGTGGAAGTAACTGGATCAGCAAAGATTATGGTCATACAACTTCATCATGCAATTAACCATAGTTACCGGAAGTACGTACATAAGTGGATGAAGCAACAACTAAATTTTTCTCACTGCCAAATATATCGCATATGAAAGTATACTTACAGAAGCGATTGGATACGCCAAGCGAAAAAACAATTATCCACATCCTTCGGAATAATCCAACTTTTCCGCACTGAGTAAAGATATGTTCTTCACCATCGAACCACCCAACTTTGTAGAGCCTATGAGCACGAGGCGTGCCATCTTTCCGAAATTCGCTGCGTACCGCCCTACAGTCTCGAAGTTGATTGGTCCGAACTTGTCAAAGGGACAGTAGTAAGCCCGGTGCCTGAAGAACGTGTGCACTGCTGTAAAGTTCCTCCAGTCGTCATTGCACTGCTCAAACAAGATCCTGGAGATGTCCTCATGCACTCCAAAATCGCATGGAATTCGGTAAACTAGGTGAGGCTTCGCATCGAGTATCTCCTGCGTCGGTAGATGACCAGCGTTGTAATACCAGAGGTCAGGCCGATACTTGCGATACAAGTCGTAGTACAGACGTAAAAACACGGATTGCTTATGGGCCACGATGATTTGGTTGCCGATGCTCTGGCCTGGTGGCCACCCTATGGCCGTTTCATACCGCCTGTACTTGTCCAAACTCTTCACGACATAGGAGTCGCTATCGAGGTAGATGCCTCCGTACTTTCTAAGCACCCTGATGCGAACGATGTCAGAGGCGTGCTCGATCCAGCTCACCTTGATGCCGAAAACTGCCTCCGGTTTCTCTACGTACCTCAGAGTCAGTCGTGGTATGTCTTTAATGTGTCTCCAGTACGCGCTTTGTATAGTCGCGCTGCAGTTGTCGCAGTGGATCATCAAAAAGTCGGGGTTTTGCTGGAGCCACGCTGCTCGAATGCTCACAACCTCAATGAAGGACAACGAAGCGTTTCCGAGTCTTATGAAATGCACAATGTTTGGCACGAAGGTATCGTTGTACTCTTCCACCGTCACCTCTCGCGCGGGCAGATCCCAACAGTAAAACGGTGGTAGCGGATGTTTGGGCCATGACATATAAAGTACGGAGCACGTGGCGAGAAACGTAGCGCATACTATGAGGCAATAAAAATGCCTTATTGGGAATCGCTTGCTGCTATAAGGACGGAAGTACATCTTCTACCTTGATGTGGGCAATTCCCGCTGTACAAACGCTTTGGTTCCTTGTTTTTTCGTGTTAGTTGAATCCTCTTCCGGGTTACGGTGTTACTTGTTTCATGCATTTGCAACCATCTGGTCGGGAAAGATGCAGGTCAAATCTGAAGCGAAGATCCTTTGTAGGCTTCAGCAGAACAGCACTGTCGATTAAAGAACAATGGAGTGTTGAGAGCCGGGTCCTGCGTTATCAAACTGCAGGTCTTGTCCATGCGAGGCCACACTCAAGTTGACTGCTGGAACAGTTCCGGCGCACAAAAAAATGCAAATGCGGGAATGTTTTGTCGAGGAAATCTGGCACCGGATGGCCTTCTACCATAGCAGCGTGTTGATGACACGAGGAGTGCAGTTGAACGGCGATACCGCAGTGTCGAGCCTCTGACTGCTGCAATATCCGCTTGCCGGACGGGTGGATCCGTGCCGTAGATGCAATGCACGTTTTGATTCTGTTGCGGTGCGCTTGAACGCACTATATGAAATGCGCGCTCGCGCCCATACCCTTCGTCAAAACATCACGCATCTGTGCATCTGTTATGACGGTTGCCCGACCTTTGTTCTGTGAGATGGAGGAGAGCAACAGGCACATGGCCGCAGTGGGGCGCCGGTGTAGATGCGGAACCGCTGCACAGATGCTGCGGGGCATAGTATGATAGCTGTTTGTGCGAGATGTTCTTAGGAAGGGCATCGATCACGATGTTGTATCAGCCGTTTGCATTTTTGTTGCTGTTGCTCACGGTGGGGGTTGCACGGAACGTTCTAGCAGTGACGGAACAGATTGAAATGCATTGGTCGCATGGTCGGAGTTTATTTCTATATATAGGGCAGCGCAAAAGATTTTGCCTCTTGCGGAAGGCATGCACGCAAAAGGGAGTGCCATTAGCGCGTCATACAGTGTGATAACGCTTAGGGTTTCCGAGAGACGAGGAATAATCATTGGAATCGACATACGGCAAGTTGTCTCTTGATAAAGTTAGGCTTCGGATTTGATCGGTTTTATTGCGTTCAAGTTTCAAGTGGGCTTTAAATGTTATGAATATAGGCGTGCGCATGACGGCCGAACAAGGGCTCCTCATCGTTTGAAAGGAGAACCGCTTGCATTCCTATGAGTATGCCGCAAGTCCAACTTGCAAAACTGGCTAATTCGACAACCCTTGGAATATCTGTTGCTCCATATGACTAAGTTCGGCAACTTCCCGTTTTCAATGAAGCTAGAGCTCAATAGCGATAGAGATAATTGACAGAGATGAGCATAAGTATCCCTTTCATCCTTAAGCAGCGTGAGAAAAAAAACACACACACACTTGGACGAGGAAGCAACACACACAGGACAAGCGCCTTTCCTGTCGGATGAAGCGTTTCCAACTATACGCCAAATAGCTGTGCTACTACAAGTACTTTCCTCCTCGGAAACCAGCATTAAATATTTTACGGCAACTTGAAGGACCCATATTACAAAGACCAACAAGACAAAAAGAAAATGAGCATTTACTACTATTCCGTATAGTTCATCGGTACTTCAAAACCTTCAGTAAATGCTTCACAGCAGCGCATGGGTGCAGGAAGGACTAATCATATCTTGACAGCACAATTCGTGGCATACTGCTGTATCTGCATTTTTGCGACAGTGCTTTCAAGTGCTGACTCTTGTCGGTTTATTTCTGTAGTTTTGGTTTCTAAATAAATGATTGCTTTTCTGGCGGCTGACGACCGATAAAGCTTTACCGCAACCAGGCCTTATGAATGCGGGGCGTTTTCCATTGTGTAAAAATGTTCCAAAAGCCGAGCGAGTTCAGGATATTAAAATATTTACTCCCACTCAAATCAAGAAGAATATAACAAAGTTACATAGATGTTTTGCCACCAATGCGGATGGCATCCTCAGTGTGCACTGACATCAAATAAGCGAGGTACCCCAGTCCACTGATAGTCCGATATGTCCCTCTAAATGCCGCGGTTGTTGTTGCACAGTGTAAGATTGCGGTGTACTAGACTCATCGTACTCGCACCGGTTGACAAGTCGACGAGGGTACATGTCCTGGTGGACTCGCAGCAACAGCAGCGTAAGTCAATGGCGCGGCGACAGCTGTGTTGTCTGAGAGGCGGACGGCAGTGTCTCGAAGACCTCCACCTGCAGTATTACCTGCCTGATGGCGGTCGCGAGACACTCAGAAGAGGGGTCCGTTGTCGGTGCATACGACAGGCACGAAAGTTGTCAGGCCACCTCTTCGCGCACTTATCGTTTGATTTCCGACATTAGCGTGTTGGGGTCTCCATCGAGGGTCAACATCGCGAGAGTTTCGTCGGTAACCGCTGGCCGCCCTTTTATGACCCGTTGTTTACGCAACTCCATAAAGCTCTGACAAAAAGTGGCGGGTTCGGACAAGGTCCGTGGGACCTTGGCCAGCAGCATCTAGAAGGCGTCTTTGTCTATACCTTTCAAGATGTGTTTGATCTTGTCTGTTTCTGTCATTGAGGGGTCAATAAGGCGCTTGCACAAGTTGAGCACGTCCTCAATGTAGCTTGTGAAGCCTTCCCCCTGAAGCTGTGCGCGTCCCCTGAAGCGCTGTCTGGAACTAAGCTTGCGTACCTCGTGTCGACCGAACACATCGGCAATGCGTAGCGCAAAAGAACCCCAATTGACTAATGTCGAGTGGTTGTTTTTAAACCAGAGACTCGCTGCCTCTTTCATGTAGAAGGGCACATATTGCAGCTTCGAAGGTTCGTCCCACTTGTTGATCACGCCTACCTTTTCAAATACCTAAATGTCTTGAAATATTATTAAATGTATTCAATCTGCAACGTCTTGTTCATCGGTACTGTTGAAAAAAAGGTGGATCGCGCATGTGTAGTGCAGTGGGCACGATGACCATCGGAGGATGGGTCGAAGTTTGCTGGATATTTTCCTCAGCCATTTCTGAGGTGGCAGGTAATTTCCTGTTGCGGAGTTGCAGGTTGAGTCACCCAGCACCTCCACCACTATGAAACGGGGTTTATTAGCGTAAGTAGCACTTGCATAGCAGGTATATTGATACCGAGAGCAGGCGGCAACAATCAAAACAGGAATCACAGCGCTAGGGCCAACAGCTCGCGCTCGACGCTTCTGACAAGAGGTGGCCCACTACAGTGTATTGTTGTTCCTCCTTACTCATACCAATTTGTCCCGACGGATCAGCTCGCGACAACAACCGCGACCCCCTACCGGACATTTAGAAGGGTATATAGCAGTGGACCTGGTGACGCCCATTCATTTAGTGTCACTGCATATACTGAGGATGCCAGTTGCATATAATGGCGAAAGTTTCATGCATTTTATTACTTTTTTATGGACTAAAGTTGGATGAAATAATTTAAGTCGTGGGGCTGAAATGGTTAACCCAAATACCTGCATACGAGTGCGCCTGACGACGGGGATCCTGGTGCATGCTCAGGCGCTTGTCCTGTGTGTGTTTCTTCTTCGTCCTTGTGACAAATCTCTGTGCATGCACCAGGATCCATGTCACCAGGCGCACTCGTATGCAGGTAGTTGCGTCAACCATTTCAGCCCCATGACTTAAAATAGTTCGTCCAACTTTATATATATATATATATATATATATATATATATATATATATATATATATATATATATATATATATATATATAAATATATATATATATATATATATATATATATATATATATATATATATATATATATATATATAGCGCTTCGAAAGTGCTTTTGTGTCTCAGTACTGGTTTTTGCCGGATCAACAAAGGCGAGAAAGAGGCGCCACGTATACTGCAGCTGCATATTTTCCGCACCTGCTTGGTAGTGATGCGCGGCGTGTGAAAATTACAATGGTGGCGCAGCGGTCGAAGTGGGTAGAGACGTGCTGCGAGTGGTTCTTAAGATAGAGAAACGAAGAGAAAAGTGAGCCCCGTTATTGTCTGCTTCAGTGAGCGACACCGCCACAGAGCTCACAAGGGATGGGGGTGAGGAGGGATAAAAGGGTAGAAGTAAAGGTATAGAAAAGAGGAAGAAGAAGCAACAACAAACTGAGGGGATAGGAGAGACAGGAAAGATGGAAGCATGGTCACTGGAGTTCGAGGACGGGGTACACTTGCGAGAGATGTTGTCGGCGTCTGTAGATGGCGTAGAGCAGGTCCAGTAAATCAGAGCTACGCTGTCGTCGAAGGTCGTCGGCGACAGGAGGTGACGTATGGCGAGCCCAGTCGGCCAGAGCTACGGTGACGCCGAAGGTCGCAAGCGCGCGGAGCACGCGGGCGCACAACCGGTCGGCACGGAATCCAGCGAGCGAGTCCGTAGAGATGTGCTGCGTGGTCTGCGACGCACGAGCTTCTCGGTGTTCGTGTGGGATGCGGACACCTCATAATGTAGAGAGGCCGATCAGCGTCCCTTGCGGCGCATTCGCAGGTACTGTGGTCCGTGGAGTCCGAAAGTTGCACCGGACAGCTCACTGCGTGCATGTGCGTACTCTCGTTGACCTCGCTGCTGCACTTATTGAGGCGGATGTTGACGCAGGTGGAGGAGGAGTAGGTGGTTAGTAGGAAAAGAAAAAGGGCACCTAACTGCTGCCCAATAGGCAGCACGGCACAGTGCTACCTATTGTATGAGGGGGGGGGGACGTTGAGAGAGAGAGAAACAACTTTATTTGAGTGAAAAAAATCACAAAAGAATGGCGATCAGGCCGTGCCTGGCCGCCACGTCTTCAGCTCGCTGTATGGCCCGGAGCTGTACTTCTAGGCTCGCATCTCGGAGTACTCTTTCCCATGCCTCGGACGAGGGAGTGGTCAGGAAATCAGGCGGGGGTGGATTCTCGCTGCAGTCCTATAGTATATGAGAAAGGGAGGTGACGGAGCCACATTTTGAGCAATGCGGACTACGAAGAAATGAAAGCACTCGGCGCACAGCAAAGGTAGAAAACAATAGAGAGCACGGGAAGCCGATCAGTGAGAGCTTCGCAGGCATTCTGATTGCGTACGACACAACCGTTCATCACATTCACCCAGTGAATCCCTTCAGGTGAAAAAAAATAAATAAAATTGGTGGCTGTACGCATCGTGAAGGAGGACGACGAAGTGAAAATGTTTATACGATTGCCGACGCTTTCCCCGATGCGCTGCTCTTATAATTTAGAAAAGAGCGTCCCTGGGGTGAATGTGCCGGACGGCGTTGTCAAGTAGTTGCTGTTCGTTAGAAACCGGACAGCAGGTAGCCAAAAGCAGAAGCAAGCTGTCAACACGCTGATCAACTCGGGGTATTTTCTCGGAGCACAGGTCATGTGCATGAGAGCAAGGGAAGCATGACGGGAGGCTGCGTTTTTAGGCACCAAAAACAAACTGTCAAATGAACCTTCAGGGCCCAAAATAGGCAGGCACACGCGTGTAAAGCCTCCATCCTCGAATATTTAGACACATCAAAGTTTTACATAAA